ATGGATAAACAAAACGTGGTGTCTCCATGCAATGGTATATTATTCAGCCATGAAAAGGAATGAAGAACTGATAGATACTACAACATGGCTGAGCCTTGGAAACAGTATGCTAAGTGAAATAAACCATTTACAAAGCACCATGTATTGCATGAGGCCATTGAAATGAAATATTTAAAATGGAAAATATATATAGAGAGAAAGTAGATTAGTGATGGCTTAGGGCTGGAGTAGATGAGATGAGGAGGGGAAGCAGGGAGTGACTGCCAGTACCCATTACGATGACAGGGGGTTTCTTTCAGAGGTGATGAAAATGTTTTAGTATTAGATAGTGGTGACCGACTTTTGTAATCTATTTTTTAACTTCTTGAATTATATACTAAAACCCACCAAAGCGTACAGTCTAAAAGGGTACTTTATGGTATGTAAACTATATCTCAACAAAGCTGTCATTTTGAGAAACCTGAATCTGGGATGAGGAGCCTAGGTGTTGGCAGTGCTAAAAGCTTCCCCGTTGCTGCTAACCTGCAGTCGAGGGGTTAAGACATTGCGTTAGTTCAGTGATTCTCCCAGCAGGGTCCCTGGACCAGCATCAGCCCTCCAGATAACTTGTTGGAAATGCAGATTCTTGTGCTCTTCCCCAGATCTACTGAATCAGAGACATAGACATGTGTTTTAAAAAGCCTTCAGGTGATTGTTGCTCACTAAAGTTTGAGAGCCAGTACGACTAGAGCATTGTTTTTTAAGTGCTGAAATCAGACAGACTTGGATTTGCAGCCTGGCTCCTGCAGCTTCTATGATGGGACCATGGTTAAGTGAGTAAGCCCCTGTGTGCCTCATTTTCCTTGTGTAAAAATGTGGATTCCTTCCTCCTAGTAGAGAGCCGTGAGGATTAAAAGAATTGTATATTAAAGGTGCTTTGGATGGGGCATTGCCCATGTTAAAGCCTCAATAATAAATGTTGTTATTGTTATGGTTACCCCAGGAGCTCTAAACCATGACTTCAATGGGAAATTGTGTTGTTAATTCTATAGGTGGCCTCTTGAAGCACCACCCAGTCTCCCCTCAGTAGCTATCGTGCCCTTTATCCAAGCCCCTGGAACAGCAGGTTTCGGAGGAGAAATTGCAGGTTGGGGAGAGGGGAGGCGTGCTCCTGTGGAGATGATCTGGATTTGTTTGTGAGGTCAGATGTTTGAGCATAGTCATACTTCTTGTGTTGGGACTTTGATGGGAGTTGGAGGTCGAAGTGGGAGAGGACAGGTGGAAAGGAAGAGAAGGCTGTAGGAGAGCGAATTGCTGTTCCAGTGAGGCTGTGAATTCATTGCTTTCTGTGGGAAGAATACTCTTCCCTGGGCTTGCTGTTGATGGGAGAATCTGGTAAACAGAGTGCTCAGGACATTTTGGCTAGAGTTAGAGCTCTTTTATTTGCTTTCAGAGTGTTTAACATGGTTTTCTGGAACCTGCATAATTTAGAGGATTGGCTTTGGTAGCTTCATAGTGAGAAGGCAATGAAGAGGTTTAAGACTGATATTAGGGAGGGAGGAAGGTGGGAAGGAAGGCGGGGAGGGAAACTATTATATAATGATCAGCTATGACATTAGGTGCTTTCAAATCATTTACTCTTGTGTAACCCTCCTGAGAGTACTATGAAGTATTATAACACCCTCCCCCTTTAACAATACGTAGAGAAACCGAGGCTCAGCAAAGCCAGGCAACATGACCAGGGTCACAGAACCAGACGTGAATAAGAATCTGGACCACTGTTCTTTCAGGTGAAATGTCACCTCTTGGGTCATCCAAGGAGAATTTGGGGACACAGAGGTTCTCGAATGCAAGTGAACTTCTTGGAATCTCCTTAGGGTGCTTGATTAAAGTCAGACCTACTGAAGCAGAATCTCTGATGATCAAGCCTGAGAGCCTGTGTTTTCAATACCTATTCCAGGTGTGCTGATGCCCAGTCAGGTTTGGGAGCTGGTACTCTGGAATTCATGTACTTTAACCCGGCCACCATTCTGTCTCCCCTGTTCACTCTCCTCCCACATACAGCCTTGTTTCCCAATTCACAGTGTATACATGTCATTTGATGCTCGCAGAATAAACTCCCTGTTAAAATTCCATTGAATATCTCAACAGAAACACTCTGGGAGTTCACTTGAACATTTGGGAGGGCAGACGATTCGTGGGAATGCCCTCAGGATAGTGTCTCTGAACAAGTCAGATAACCTGCAGACACTCCTCCAGGGGAACCCACTGCCAGAAAGAAGCACAGTCTTTTCTATCTGCTCTTCCTGAGCAGACGGCTACTGGCCTTCTTTGTGAAATGTGTCTTTTGACCTGCTTCTCTTGAGTCACTTTGAGGGCTTTTGGGAACCAGTGCTGAGACTGAGACTTCCCAATACGAGGCCAGTCTGGGTTTGAGCGGTTGGTTGTGGCTTCGTCTTGGGGCCTGGAAGGGCCAGAGCTGAGGCCAAACTAGTGAAAAAGAGCCACTCCCTCTGCCCTGCAGGCCCTGAGTGGCCAGGAGGTTCACTAATGACTGCACTGGCTTCATGTGTCGCTTGGCACAGTGTTGTAGAATGGGCACAGTGTTCAGTTTGAATTTCAAAAACCCAATTAAGGAATTCAATCTTTTATTTTTTAGCTGACCACTTTGTCTCAAGGATCTTTAGGAACCTGGAATTAATAATAATAATAATAATAATAATAATTAATAGAAGCTTCTTTAAAGCTTTCTCTTCTCCCTACCTCTGAGGACTTGGGAGCAACCCTGCCAAGAAGATGGGGAGAGGGCAGAGGTGATTATCCTTTTCTCAGGCTTCAATAGATAAAGTGTCAGGCCCACAGCTCTGTAGGGATGGTGAGGAGTCTTAAGGGGTACAGATGGGCCAAGAGTGGGTATTTCCTCATAGGAGGAGGAGGGCACAACTGGGACCACCTCAATGTGGCTTGGTGGGGGTTTCTAGCCTCTTGAGTGGGTGTGGTCTGGAAGGAAGCTCTGGCCAGTGCACTGCAGGGACCCCTCAGGGTGTGGCTCTCATGTGCCCCTGTGAGTCCTCAGGTGTCCCGCACCGTCTTCTCTGGGTCCTTCCCTGACAGGATCCCCCTGCCAAGGCCTGTGCTCTCCCTGCCCGTCTTACTTTCCCTGCTTACTCTCTGTGGCCAGTACCCTTCTGTATCATCTTGGGCTGTTTACACAGGTGTGTGGGAAGGGGCTTCTTTGCAAAAGATTGTTACTATGGCTTTCCATTGGTCCTTTGATAAAGACCAAGATCCTTAACAGGGACCATTTAAGGTCCGATCCTGGGAAACTGAATTCTGGCTCTCTGTCCAAGTTTGCCTTGTTCTACTTTGTTCATCTGTACATAACTTTTCTTTATTAGGAAAAGAAAAAAATGTGTGTGTGTGTGTGTGTGTGTGTGTGTGTGTGTGTGTGTGTGTGTGTAGTAATAATATGGGGAAATGTACATTGAGTCTTTTTAAAATGTATTTTAGTTCATTAATTTTTTTAGATTTCAATCCCTTTTGGGGTACAAGTCGTTGATGATTACACGGATGAATTATATTGTGATGAATTCTGAGATTTTGGAGCACCTGTCAGTTAGTGTACATTGCACCTAATGTGTAGCTTTTATCCCTGGCCCCCTACTACCTTCCCCTTTCTGAGTCTGTAAGGTCCATCATATCACTATGCCTTTGTGTATTCATAGCTTAGCTCCCACTTAGAAGTGAAAACATAGAATTTTTGGTTTTCCATTCCTGAGTTGCTTCACTTAGAATAATTGTCTTTTTAGTTCCCCAGATGTTTAGGCTGATGGCTTTTGTGCCTGCTGGCTCTCTGCTGGGCATATCCACCACAGCTGACCACCATGCCCTGGTTAACACCTTCCAGCCCCTGGATCTCAGCTCAGCTGTCCCTTGCTCAGGGCACCTTCTCTGGCCCCCAGGCTCGATCAGCCATGTGTCTTTCCCATACTTATGTTGGTGTATGGAGCAGGGTTGGCACTCAGTTAAAAATTGCTGAGTGAATAAAGGACGCTTCAGGAGGCTCATGGGTGGGGATCACTATGCTAAAACTTCCCTGGCTCTGTGCATGTCTTTGCTTAGGATGCTACAGATCATATTGATTTCGTCTGTGTGTGTTTAAGATTTTGTGACTATCAATATTTTAAATGATACTGAACTCTCCGAGACCTGTTCCTTCTAACTTGTTGGATTTAATTGTACAAGGCTTAAAGTGACTGCTGTAGAGCCATCCTCAGCCGTCACAGTAATTTAGTGCCCTGTGTGCAGCATCCCGGCAGCCCAGGCTCTAGATTGCTTTTCAGAGTGGTGTTGTTTTGTTCTTATTTATGAGTAGGGCTCAGAGGTGCTGAATCAGTTCTTGGCTGGACAGCTTCTGCCTCGTGTATCTTAGTCATCTACCACTGTGGGTTCTTTTAAAGGGCACTGGGTCATAGTGACACAGAAGCCAGTGACCATTCCCATGGTGATGCGGGACCCTTGTCCCCTCACTTGGGCAATGCGCAGTGAGTTCTTCATGGCATAGTGACCTCTGTTGCCAGGGAGCCATTTTCTGCTGCACTGTGGATACAGGAATAGGCAGCAAAGGGCCCTAATACCCATGAACTTACTGATACCATGTCAGAAAATTCCCTCTTCTCCATATCTTCAGATAGAAATTAGGGGAAAATTCTTTCTGATCATCACTGCCCAGTCTTTTTTGCAGGTTGTGACCCACTAATGAATAATGAAACCCAATATGTGGGTCATGAATTTAAAAAGAATGAAAGGAAATAGGTTAGAAAATATTAGAATGCAATACACATAGTGAAAGTAACTATTGTTTGGTGAAGCTTTTCTTTTAGTTTGTGCAAATCCGGGCTGAGTCACGAGGTAAAGTACATTTCTTTCTTGCAGTCAAAATACGCCATCACCACAGCTCTATAGCATGTTGTAAGTGGACTTCCCAGTGTCCTTACACCTGTGCTTGCTTTTTCTTAAAGGTATGCAAAATCCAGTCAGATCAAGACTGTGTCAAGCAGCAAGATATTTTTTAAAGGAAGTAGATTTCGATATAGGTGGGTACCAATGATTCTATTTCAGTGATGGGGTGGGGATGGGGCAGCCACTTTCATTTCAAAATTTCGCTTGTAAATAAGTGGCCTTTGGCTTGTGCCTCTATTTGAATCTTCCATTTCCACTCCATTGCTCTCTTATGCTCACAGGGCACCCCTCATGCTTTCTGTAGCTGGGTCAGAACCCTGTGAAGTTAATAAAGATGCTTGTGCATACTCCTCCCATTCTTCCCTGAGTATGTGTGCATACACTTGTGTTTCTGTTTTTTGCAGTGGGAAAGTTGCCAAAGAGGTGGTGGAGGCCAGTTCCAAGATCCAGAGGGAGCCTCCCGAGGTGCACAGGTGAGTGGATGAGCACTCTGGGCTTCAGGTGGCTTTAAAAGCTGGCGATTCCAAATCCTCTATAACATCCCTAGTGACATCTGGCATTAGAGAAGGACATACCCACTTTCTTAGACATCACACTCAGATTTGGCTGGGCCATGGGATGAGCACAGCTGGGCTCCACTTTATGTGCTCTGTGGAGAGTCATTGATTAGGTCTGGAGTGTCACCTGAACAAGCAGAATGCTGTGCTATTGCCTGGCCAAACTCTGTCATCTCAGCCTCTTAATCGCCCAGCGAAACTGTCATCTTATTCTCTTAGGAGTTCTCTCTTCCTGACTGCGTTCATCATATTTGGCTGGTTCCTGTTGGCCTAACTTCAGGCTTACCTTTCATGGGGCCATTACTCTCTATGGCCATGCAGAAGAATGAAGGATTTAGTCATTGTTGGCTCAAGAGTACACACCTCCACTAAGGTGACAATATGCAGTAATTCTTAAGAATCGGATCTTTACTTGCCATGTTGGACTTTACAACAATTCACACAAATTGTTGCCCATCCTAAACCTCAAATATGCTGCATATATAAAGTTGAACATTCTCGTCATGATGCCTCCCACTTTTTAAGGAAAGATCACCATGAGCTAAATTATTTAGGAAGTCACACACACACTGGTTTGCACCTTCCATTTCTTCCTCATCTTTGAAACCCAGAGGTAGTTTTTTATGCTTGGATTTGTCCAGTTTCCTCCATTTTCAGGGTGACTAAGTGGGCTGGGTGCCTCTCTACTCTGTCCCTTTGGGTTGTTGGTCAGGAGGATGCTGCGGTGTCACAGAAGTGTGGCTGAGCCAGCCTGGAGAAGCATCCAGATGGCACTTCTCTCCCACACTGAGGAGCAGAAGTGCAGTTGGCACAATACCTCATGTACATGTGTAGAGAAGAAAATCATTCCTGCTTTGGGGTGACCTAGTGAGGAGCTGTAACATGAAAGTCTGCAAAACCAGTCTATTGCACTTTAAGAAGCAGAGGACTACAGGATGAGAGAGGCTGGAGCACCTTGGCTGCAGGCACGTTGGTACAATTCCTGAAAGTCTTACAGACTGTCCACCAATGAGAAAAGTCTCATGGTTCCCTCCTCTTTCCCAAATTGTAGTTATTCAATGCAACAGAAATGAAGAGGAAATGATAAAACATATCATTTCTTCCCTTTTGGAATCTTTGAACTGGAAATGACCTCGGGGATTGCCTAGTTTGATGGTTCTGTTCTGTAGACAAAGAAACTTGAGTCTCAGACAAGTTAAGTCATTTATCCAAGGTCCTAACTTTTTTGGTGGCAGACCTAAGCCTAGAACTCCAGTGTCCTGCTGCTGTGTTCTCAGCGTTTTTCTCTGTAGCACCCTGAGGGCACCTGGCATTTTCTTAGAAGCTGGTACTAGAGGCAGAACTACCCCAAGTGGGTCAGCATGGATTTTATTCTTCCAGGCTGAAGGTCAAATGTTTGATCTTAAATGCTTGATGTTGAGGGAGTTCTCCTGACATCACAAACACAAAGCAGGAAACTTTTTTTTTTTTTTTTTTTACAAGGCAGGAAACTTTCAGAGAAACATATTCCAAAAAATAAGGCTTTTATGAGTGTCATAGTTACCGTCTATGGATGGTTAATGGGGTCAATAAAGAATTTTTTTAAATGCTTCTCTTGTAAATTGAGGTTTGAATCATTTATGGAAACCAAGGCTTTTTAGCCCAGGGTTTCTCAAATTGTAACTTGCACAGGGATCACCTTGAGATTCTGTTAAAATCAGATTCTGATTCAAGAAGCCTGGAGTAATGCTTCAGAGTCTGTAATTCTAACATGTTCTCAGATGATGGCCATGTGGCTGGTCCATGGGCCACACTTTGAGCAGCCAGGCTCTTGGTAACAGGTGGAAGGGTGAAGGAAGAAGGCTTGCTGGAATGAAGCACTTTTCTTGGAGTGGACTGAACCCCAGAGTGGGAGGAAAGTGGACACATGCTGAGGCAACCATCCACCAAATCATAGTTTCCCTTTTCTGGAATCTTCTAAAATCTCCCAACATACTACTGCAAACAAGGATTTAGGGGCTTGACACCTGCTTTGCATGCTCTTTCTCTTCTGCCTCCCCCCCGGGTATATGAAAGCCTGTTGAGTTCACATCCTTAGGATGCCTCTGTGGTTCTTTGCAGCATCTCTCAAATCTCTGACAACACCAGGAAGAATTTGATTAATGTAATGCTGCAAAGCAACCACTGGGAGGAAAGGACCGTGTCTATCTTGGTCATCTCCATGTCCCCTAGCACATAACACAGTGTTTGGCACATAGTAGAGGTCAATATATACCTGTTGAATGAACACATGAACTAGGAGTACGGGAGGACAGCAGCACCTGTCATTTTCTTTGATGTGAGGTCTGTCCAAGGTGCTGCCCCAGGGACCTCAACATCCCCAGAGACAGCATTGTGGTCAGAGCCATAGTGATGTGTGAAACCTGCATGCAGGCAAGTCCTCCTTTCATACCAGTAGCTGGTTGTGTGGTAGGAAATTGTTCCTCTTGGACAACTGTTTTATTTTCAAATTATTTTGGCTTCTTTGAAGTTGCTGGTCAAAAGTGAGAATGTAGTAATAAGCTCTCCTCTTGTGGGCATTCAGAGATGATCATTAGTCTAGAATGGTGATGATAAGGCTTTAATGGGTGAATTTTCTTCACATTCTGAGATTCTACTCTTCAAATAATGGCAAGTTCACAGACACCTACATCTGCTGAGGTGTGTGTGTATATGTGGAGAAACAAGCAGTCTGAGAAAACTTTCTCAGAATTTTTCTTTTTCTTCAAAAAGAGAAGCAAAAGCTAACTCTGATGGTATCTTGCTGGTCATTATTGATGACAAGATCCCCAAGCCAAACTCTCCTGAACTGGCCACTGGGTGACAACCATCTGCCCATTCCAGAGGCCCAGAGAGACAGAGGGCTGTCGCTTGGTGAGCCCAGGGATGGTTGTGTGAGCCACCAGGGCATGGCAGCCACCACCAGGAAACACTCCAGGGCAGCATTTGTTCTTGATACAAGCATCTGTGTAGGGGTCACGGGTGGGTTCTGATCTTAGCTGTGTTGCTTGCCAGCTGAATGGTCTTGGGTAAATCACTTCTCAGATCATGGGCTTACTCATCTATAAAATGAGATTTACATCACTTTGCCCAACTTCCAGGCTTTGTTATGAGTATTAAAATAAGGTGCTTTAAAAATTATAAAGTGCCATACAAATATGAGGTGATGACAATATTACTACCATTTCTCGTCCAAAAATGAAAAACTGGAATATGACAGATATATTGACATTAAAATCTCCCAGATAGAGTTTATAGAGGCTGGCACTACTTGTTTTTATTCCAAGGAGAGATGTAGGAAGTCCAGGAGTCTCAGTTTAGTCACTGTTATATGCTACCATTTTTGAGTCCTGAGTCTCCCCTTATAAGCATCATTTAGTTGAGTTACATAATGTCAGTTTCCTTACCTGTAAATATGGTATTTTTCTTGCCTATCTTACAAGTACAATGAGCAAAACAAATGGGGTAAAGTATATCCAAACCACATTTGCCAATATTAGAATATAATCGTAGTTCCCAAAGGAAACATTTCTACTTCAATAGAGTTCCTAATAGCAGCTTCATTTGGAGACCATTCTGTCCTGGGAGTACGTGCATGAGTGGGCTGCAAAGTGGGCCAGACATTTTTGCTGAGTCATCTGATAGATGGGTTCTGAGATTGGAGAAACATGTCACGTATCCTAGCCTGGCCTGGGGAGACCCCAGGCATAAACACAGTTACCTCAGGAGCTCAGGTGGAAGGGCAGAGTGGAAGCCGTCTGGGGCATCTGCACATACTTTAAAAAGACACAGTGGGACCTCATGTAGCCAGAAACGGGGATAGCAGTGGTAGCGAGCAGAGTCTCCTTTGGGACATTGCAGGCTAAATCACACAGAAAGGCAGTGTGGGGCACAGCAAAAGCCTTGGGCCAGGAATCAGATTATCTGGCTTTGAGTCCGAAGTCTGCCCTATAAGCCTCTTTAGTCATGTTACGTAAGCTCCCCGAGTCTCAGTTTTTCATCTGCAAATATGATATTTACCTTGCCTATCTTAGGGCAAGACACATTGGGAAAAAAAATGAGGTAATGCATAAACAAACCACTTTGCAAGTGAAAAGTGGAGGGCCATTCAAATTCTGATATTATATTTGTCATTAGTTCAATTGTGCTGGCGGGTTCTTGCTTTAAGTGAAGCCAGGATCAGTTGGCACCTTTAAAAAAGATTAAGGAGAGAATTAGGTAAGAAGGTATAATTTTTAGTTTAAAGGAGTTGGTAGATTTATTAGTCCAGTTGGGAAGTCATAACAAAATACCGTAGATTGGGTGGCTTACAGACAACAGAAATTGATTTCTCACACTTCTAGAGGCTGGGAAGTCCAAGATCAAGACACTAGTGGATTCAATATCTGGCAAGGGCCTGGTTTCTTATAGACGGTGCCTTCTTGCTGTGTCTGCACATGGCAGAAGGGGGAACAAGCTCTCTCAGACCCCTTTTATAAGGATACTAATTCTATTCATGTGATCGTGACCTAATCACCTCCTGAAGGCCCCACCTCTTAATACCATTACATTGGAGATTAGGTTTCAACGAGTGAATTTTAAGGGGATGCAGACACTCAGGCCATCGCAGTAGGGAAGGGTGGGAGACTTGGCATGTTGTTTTCTAATTTTGTTGACTCTTTCCCCCATGCTGTCCAGGGAAATTCCTAGTTGTATCCACCTTTGGGTTTAACTGAGTCTTACACTTATCAGGGAAGAAATGTTCTTCTTTGAGTAATAATATTGGAGAGTCTCAGTGTTGTAATCCACAGCAGGAGTCATCTGGTCTAATACGAGGCACGCCCTATATGCCCCTGTCCCTGGCCATGACCCTCTGCTACCACAGAGCAGCAGGAGCCTGTGAATGTAGGGGCTGAGCTGGCATCCTTCTGGCCATCCAGTGCCAAGGCAGGCTCACTCCTGGGTATCAGCCTGGTGAGCCCAGCCTGTCTTAAACCTATGCAGTTGTCCGGACATTGCTAGTTGTGGGGTGGGGCAGCAAGATGGCTTGGTATCTCCAGCTGAAGAATGTTGGAAGGAGGGCTGATGGGGAGCAAAATAAGCTTATAAAGGCCCACCAAGGGCTCATCACTGTGTCATAAGCAGTGATTCCTGGGGATTGGAACAGCAGCCAGCTCAGCTGGCATGGACAGTCAGAGGTGGAGCAGATCAATTCAGAATTGCTTGGGAAAGAATGGATGGATGGGCTTTTCAGAGGTCAGAAGCTAACAGGAATGACCATATGTTGTGCTTCGAAGAGCTAGAATCATAGTCACAATATGACAACTCTTCACAATAAAAGAGGAAACTGCTCATGGGAAATTTTAATCCTTCCCTCTCTCCCTCCCCTCCTTCCTTCTGTAAATATTTCTCTGTCTATGATTCTTTCCCTGTAAAAAGCACTGTGCTCACCAGAACATGCTGCAGGCATTGCTTCTCTTGGAAAGTCATCCCTGGCTTTGTCCTCACTCACATAGGATTAGGTCCCCTCCTTTGTGTTCCCACGGGACCCTGGCTATCAGTCACCTTCATGAGAGACATGGTGTTCCAGCTGTGACTACAGCACGTTAAGGAGTCATGAGGCCAGGTGTGGTATCTCATGCCTGTAATCCCAGCACTTTGGGAAGCTGAGGTGGGAGGATCACCTTAGGTCAGGAGTTCGAGACCAGCCTGGCCAACATGGTAAAACCCTGTCTCTACTAAAAATACAAAAATTAGCTGTGCACAGTGGCGAGTACCTGTAATCCTAGCTACTCAGGAGGCTGAGGCAGGAGAATCACTTGAACCCAGGAGGCGAAGGTTGTAGTGAGCTGAGATCACTCCATCGCACTCCAGCCTGGGTGACAGAGCGAGACTCTTGTCTCAAAAAAAAAAAAAAAAAAAAAAAGAGTTAAGAAATAAAGTAATGATCAAGACCAGTACTTAAAACAAAATGAAGTAGAATTTTCAAAAAATAGTGAATTATAAATAGATATGTAACTATTGTTACATAAAACATTAATTTCAGTTGTGCTTCTTCCTGTGTGTTTGGGTACAGGGAGATTATATAAAATATATTTCTTAATGTAGGTCTCAGACCACAAAGTTTGAAAATCATGGTTTTGGACAGAGAATTACTTAAGGTGAGGACTACAGTTCCCTAGAACAAAGCAGAATATCCAATATGTATATAGCGGCTGCAGAGTAAATGGCTATAAAATGAAATAATGAAGAAAAGGACTCCATGCTAAGCAAGTATTCATAAATTTCCTTTCTAGCCAGTGCCAGCCATGGGAGCTTTTGATTCAAGATGCTAGCAGACATCTTGATCCCACTCCTCTTGCTCAACAGAAACATTCAGGCTAGAAGGTAGTCCTGTCAGCCCACCTAGGGAACACTGACCAGGCTGAAATGGCAACATATGTCAAGCCAGGATTGCATTCAGTTTACTTCAGTTTCAAACCTGAACACATTTTCACAAGGTGGCAAGTGAGATGCATGGGTATGGCTAGCTCAGTTTCTGCCCTTAAGGTGTTTATCAAGGTGGGGATGATCAGTACACCAAAAACTAAAGAGAGACCAAGGTGAAAAATGCAGTGAGTTATACAAGAAGAGAAAGTAGTCAGTCAGACACACACACACACACACACACAGACTGAGACTGAGACTGAGACTTTGTGTGTTGGGAGGAGCAAATCCTGGAAGGCTTCCAGGGGAAGGAAACATTTGACTCCTTTTCAAAGTATGCACTGGTTTTGGTTTTGACAGTAAGTATGGGGAGTAGGGTGGGGTGCTCAAATACTAGACTAGGGCAAGCATCCAGTATCTCTGCAGCAGGTAGCGCAAGCAGGTGCCCCAGCTGCCAACCAGTAGGCTTAATGAGATACCTGCACAGTTTCCTTGCCATCTGCTGCTGGCCTCGGCCACTGACACACCTTGTCTGCTCCTTGCCAAAGGAGAAAACAGCCACAGCCAGTTAGTGAGTAGGGTGTAACTCTGAGAATATTAAACACTGATATTAAACATTGGACATCCAACAACACAAATATAGATTATAGCTGTATCTGTCTGGCAGGGGTTTTTGGTTTTGTTTGTTGGTGGTTATTAAATTTCCCTGAGCCATGCCCTTCATTCACCTTTCTGCATATCTAGTTCAGTGATAGCTAGTTCCCATGTCTTTTTGTTTCATCTTTCTTTTTTTTTAAAAAAATACCCAGGTTGTTACCCAGCATGCTCAGGGCTGGTGACATATGAGGAACTGTATTTTCTTTTATTGGATTGCAGTAGAACATAGGGACATTTGGTCAGGCCAGAAAGGGCCATTTGTCTTGAATGTTATGTCATCTTTACTACTGGCTCAATCCACTCTGTGTCTAGAGGTAGTCCCTCTAGACACAGAGCAGTAGCCTGGGCAGCCCGCTGAGATGGAGGGGCCAGCGTTTGCGATGGAAACCAACCTTATCTGGCTTGTTTCTGTTTTCAGAGCCAACATTTCTCAGAGCCGCAGTTCCCACTCCTTGAACAAACAGCTCATTATTAACATGGAGCCACTGCAGCCCCTGCTTCCTTCCCCCAGCGAGCAAGAAGAGGAACTGCCTCTGGGTGAGGGTAAGTCAGTCACTTCATCCCAAAGGCTGGCGCTGCAGGCCTTCTATGGAAAGAACAAGGGAGGCACCAATTCTGCATATGATGGGTAATGGATTAGTGTATGAGGTGGAGTGAGCCGTAAACTATGTTTTTAGTAAATAAGTTTTTTGCAGCTGGAGGCTGTGTTATACTGGGAGCTCTATTAGTTTCTCCTGGAGAGAGTTCATTGGTATAAAGTATTTCTAAAATTAAATATGAAAGGACTAATGGTGTTAGACCTACACTGGTCCAGTATGGTAACCATTAGCCATGTGTGGCTGTATTAAACTAAGTTTAAATTCATTATAATTAAAAATCCATTTCCTCAATCACACTGGCCAGATTCCCAATGCCCAATAGCTCCATGTGGCTGGTGGCTGCCATATTGGGCACTGAGACTGAGATCATTTTCTTTGTTACCAAAAGCTCTATTGGGTGGTATGTTTGCCACTGTAATCACAATTAAATTGGTGGCTGTGAAGAATTCTCCACAAGTGTCTTTACACTGATCATCCCATTTATGCCCCCAACCTTCTTGTTCTTGTTCCTTCATTTACATGTTTTGAAACAAGCTAAAAAAAAGTGAAATGTCCACTGCAGCCCCCAAATGTGTAATACTTTTAAAGATAATAATATATGTGTGTCTAGGCATCTTGTTTGTTTTTAAGGACTCTTCTGACTTCAGGGAAGAATCTCACCACACTGCTTGCTGTAAACACCTGCAGGCATCTCACATTCTTATTAATTTCAAAGATTTGCTTAAATTAAATTAATTTAATTAAATCAAAAACAAATGCACACAAAATAAAGTTATTAGAACCTTTCAATATGAACACACTTTTCCTTAACTTCATGTGATTTTGGTTTCATCACTGAAAATCTGAATACTAGGCAGCTTCAGGAGGGCAGATCACTCTGTTCCCAAAAGATCACCTTCACCTCCAGCTCAAGGCAAGAATTTATTTCATGGAAGAAAACTTTCTAGTCTATCATAACGGTATGGCTAGGAATGCAGATACCCTTGAGATAGGTAGCAGCACCAATTTGCAGTGATATGTAAAAAATTCTAGCAAATCTTTTCTGAAAGGCAGCTTTAATGGTTAGAAGGAGAATTGGGCAACTGGATGCCAAAAATTCCATGGTTGGAGGGAAAGTGTGCAAAATATGAAAGATGGGATCTAAGAAGACACTAGTTGTCTTCAACTGGGTTATAAGAGATGATGATAATGAGATCATTATAAATGGCTTTTGCTATCTGTCTTAACAATGAACTCTGAAAGTTCCATGCCAAATTAATTTTCTTGGCCCAAGGGCCTCTGGGTCCATGTTGCTTATCTGTGTTTTTCAGCAGATTATCTGTTTTTGTGTGTTTTGCAAATGAAAGGAAAGCAGTTTTCATTTCTGGTCACTAATGGTTTTCTAAGTTTCCTCCTAAATGCTTGGAATATTGCTTAGAGTGAAAATCACTTTTCCTGAAGGTCATAATTATCCCAAGTTTGAATGAAGGGAGGGTGTGGCTAATAGAGAAGAAAAGAGAAGGGGCAGTTCACAACTGGAATTGTGACTGTACCTTGTCTGCAAAGATGGAAGCCCAGATGGGAACACAGTTTGGAGACTCAGACAAGTTGAATGGTTGTGATGGAAAATATGGAAGCCTAGGCCCTGCCGCCTGAGGATGCCCAAGAGGTGAAAGGGAACCTGGTTAAACTTTCCTCTGAACTCTGCATCCCATTATCTGTTAGGAACATCTGTTTTGCTCCATTTTCTATAATGAGGTTCCACTGGTAAATACTAGGTGTGTTTTTAACATAGCGACTGTATGGACAATAGACAAACCGTTATAATTAACTGCAAAAAAATTTTAAAGTCTCTCATGACAGGATAGGAATGCATAAGTTACCTTTTCAATTTTCCCAGTTGTTTTAAAGAACTATCTTAAATTCTTTAACCAGCTGTAAAGCCAAACTGATAGATGTCTCTCTTAAAAAGTCCACAGTAGCTCTATCAATGTCAAATCAAATTATTTTCTCCAGGAGATTTGTCTCCTTAGAGAACATCTTTGTGGGTTTTAAAGTTCGGGCAATTCATAACACCTTTCAGGATACAGACACAATTAAAAAGCAAGAGAAGTAGAAACAAAAATACTGTTAATTTTTTCAAAAAATACAATGATTCTCTTGATTTAGAGTAAGAGCAAAATTATCTTAGGTACCACAAAATTCAAAGTACAATTTCCACCACAGATGTTGCTGTCTTCTGGATACCATTGTACCTCCGTTACTAGTCAAATTCTTCCTCACAGCTCTTGTCTTTGAGTGTAAGGCAATGCGATTCAGGCATTCCATGAGATAGATACCTATTTTATAGATTCACACTTCTCAGATTTATAAAAAGAAGAGAGACAGATCACAGTTCTAAACAAAGATGTTTCCACCTTTGAGAATGGGCCCTATTTCTGGGCTTTTGAGCACATGCAGTATGAAGAATTTTGTTTCATCTCTATATTTTCATATTTCATTTCTTTTTATTTCTGAGCTAGAGCCAAATGTAAAGAGGCTAGGAATTCATTCATTCTTTAATGCAACAATTGTGACAAATACAAGTTGTACAGCCTGTAGACCACACTTGCCATGTCTAAGTTGCTGTGGACTATAAAGATGAAGACACGAAGATGCTCTTTTCTGGAGACTCACAACCCACTGTGAGTCTGACACAGCAGTGGGATCACAGAGGCAATGACAAAGTTCTGCCTCTGCTGATTGAATTGTATGCTCACTTTCTGTGTGCCCTACTGGATATCAGTGCCTTAACTTGCTTCAGGGGCATTTGTTCCTTGAGAGCATTTGTTCCATTGCAGTGTCTGACATAAAATCAGTGGGCAAAGGAATAAATGGAAAAGATGGATGGGAAGAGGTGGTAATGAGTGGTCAGTTCTATCTGCATAGGGTGTGAGTGTGGTCTCAGGGAAGAGGTTCTGGGGGATGCTGAAGGTGAGGCAGAAGGTTAGAAGAGGACCAGATTATGGGCCTCGTGTGACTTGCAGGAGATTTGAGACTTTAACCTGAGAGCAACTGGGAGGGATTGAGGGATTTCAGGTATGGGAATGATGTCAATGGCATGGGAATTGCCTTTTGCATAACTGGTGATGTGTAGAGAATGGATTAGAGGCAGACATGGCTGGAGCAGAGCTTTTCAACCTCAGAACTACTGACCTCTTGAGCTAGACAGTTCTTTTTGGTGGATTTCTGTGCATTGTAGGATGTTTAGTAGCTTCCTTGGCTTCTACCCAGTAGATGCCAGAAGGACTCCACCAATATCGACAACCAAAAATGGCTCCAGATATTCCCAAATTTCCCCTGGGGAGCACAAGAGTTCTCTGGTTAGAAACCACTGGGTTGGAGGCTACAGAGGAACCACTGGAGGAGCCGAGAGAATAGATATGCAAGGGCTGAAGCAGGCAGAGAGAATGCAACTAAGGAGGAGGCTATGGATTTAAGGCATAGTCAGAGGCAGAGTTGTGGAAACAGGGTCCCTGGTTATATGGTTAGGGACGTAGCCTGTGGACTCCTACTGACCAGGTCCTGCCCTTGTATCAGGGATGTTGAGTTGAAAATGCTTCAACCTCTTTATGTTAAAGATGGGACTGTAGAGACCCAGGAAGGTTTCAATGGTGTGTCAGCATCACACAGGGAGTCCGTGACCAGCATGATTTTGTTGAATTGCTGAAGCCATCAAGAGAGTTACATACTATTGTTGCTTCTCAGAGCTTCAAACACAGAGTGGTGGAGACTTGACATCACCACTTACCTTTCTTATCATTGTTCCCATCTGGATATACTGGTTCAGATTCTTGTCTTGGGATTTCAAATCACATATTTTGGACTAGATTTATAAACTGGTCAAGATTAACAGCTTGAGCCTTGTTAAAAGTGTTGTCTAATGGCCAGGTGCAATGCTCACACATATAATTTCAGCACTTTGGGAGGCTGAGGCAGGCGGATCACCTAAGGTGAGGAGTTCGAGATCAGCCTGACCAACATGGCAAAACCTCGTCTTTACAAAAATACAAAAGTAGCTGGGTGTGGTGGCACATGCCTGTAATTTCAGCTACTTGGAAAGCTGAGGCAGCGGAATCGCTTGAATGCAGGAAGTAGAGGTTGCAGTGAACCAAGATCGCGCCATTGCACTCCAGCCTGGGCAACAAGAGTGAAACTCCGTCTCAAAGAAAAGAGTGTTGTCTAATTAAAAATTTTTTAAAAACCAGGCTGGGAGAAGAAAGTCTTAACTTATGGAAGCTCTCTCTGTGAGGTCATGAGAATGTCCTGGCACCTTGTCTTAGATGGTATGATTGATTGGTGGGGGCATCTCTGCTGCTGCCATGGCTCTCGGGGGTCATGACCACCCATTTGTCAGACAAGCTTTTTCCATTCTTTTTAAGTTTCTCAAAGACAGCTGGGCAGAGTATTATTGCCCAGATTAATGCAGTGGTGTTCTGGGAAAACGTGTGACCCCATTCACCCCTGTGACAGCTGGAGGATTTGGTCTCAAGTTGGCTACATCAGGGTGGAGAAAAAACAAAATCAGTTCCTAGGCACTACTAGGCAACGGGAATGTTTTCAAAGCTCACCCAAAAGTTGCTCGGTTACAGGATCCGAGAGAACTGGTGCTGTGGAAAACTTTAGATGAGAAGGGCAAACCATTCAAAGAGTGCCACTTAGAGCTTATGAGAATTTCAGAAGAAAAAATTGAGAGTGGGAATTGTTCTAGGTGAAAATGACATTTTAAGGAGTCATTAATCTAAATAAATTCACATGCAAAATGGAGCAGGCTCCCCATAGTGTAGATAGCACCGTGCTTATGTGTTTTACTGGTGGAGTATATGTTCTCATTGCGGAAGAGTGTTGGATTGTGGTAGAGAATGAGAGTGAAATTAATCATGTGAGACTTGGTAACTGGCAATTACAGACATACACTGAAGATCA